AGGTATTTTTTCATGAGAATAAATTATTAAATCAATTAAATATCGATCTTCACCATCACCAAAATTATTTGTATGTCTTCTTTATAAAATTTTGAATTACTTACTTTATCACGACCTCCATAAAATCTAATTCGTCGCTTGCCTACAGTATATAACATAATATATTTTTCTTCTTTATTATAACCGCCTTTAGTGTGAAATTTGGCATTCGTATATACAGATATTCTTAATGGTGGTTGCTTGATTCATAAACTTAATAATAAATATTGTAAATATGTTCTGTATGTTGTAGTTTCTTTATAATTAATAGAATTCAATATATCTACGAAATAAGAATAATCTCTAAAATTCGTTTGCTTTTTTTCGCTTAATGTAATAGCACCATAATCCTTACTTCGTTCCATCATTAATGTAGATTAGTAAAGATTGTTATTATACTTTCATTTTGTAAGTTGAAGATTTTTAATCATTTACTAACCATAAAGTAATAATTTTCTTTAGCGGACGTTGATAATTCAATTTTATTTATAAATTGTTGTAAGTTTCTTCTATTAAAGTTCTTAATAGAATTTTATTTCGTAATATTTGGATTATTTTCTTTCAGTTTGTTGTATAATAGATTATATCTGCTCTCATCTTGTGAATTCCAATCAAGCTTCTTTTGATTATTATTTTCAATCATTAGTATATATATATATATATATAGTCACCCCCTCCCCATTGATAAGACCATGCCCTTTCAATTCAGTCGTAATACATAGTCTAGGATCGGGGGAGGGGGCACTCAGATTTCAAAATTTCCAAAATTCTCTCCCCTAGCTTTACGGATTTCCAAAATTTCAAAAGTCCGTCCTTATATTTTGAAAAAAATCCTGTCGATTAGGTCGGGCCGCAAATTTTTGAAAGTTTGGAAATCCGGAAAGTTAGGGGAGAGAATTTTGAAAATTTCGGAAATTTTGGAAATTTTGGAAATTTTGGAAATTTCGGAAACATCGGAAATTTTAGAAATTTTGGAATTGATTTTCAATGGGCTGATTGTGACCCATCGGATGACAGACCATGCACTACGACTCACTTGCAAAGGCAAGGTATGTTTAGACGATTATCAGTATTTATATTTTATATTTTTTAATAGTACTCCTACGAATACTATTACCAATACTAATTCTGACATTGATCATTTGCTGACTAGCCAACACGAATAGGCACCATACAAATACTAATAATGATTAATACTGACGTTCATACTCCTACGCATATCAATAATTATGCCCATATTGGTAGTAGTATATATTCATACCAATACTAATACACACCTGCATATACCTGTTTTTTAATAGATATACATACCACTATATTAAAGTACAAATACATTAGCTCATGCATGCATTTATCTGTTAGTATTTTCATGTAATCAGGAGTAATACTAATATAAGACAAACGTTCATGCGAATACATAACCTCATTTTAATATTAGCACTAGCACTAGCACGATTACTAATACCAATCACACTGTTTATACTAACACCAAGATTTACAAAAGTATTGATACTCCTACGGATACTACTGCATATACTCTAATGCTGTTAACAGTGATGCTGTCACCAATATGGCGATTTTCACTCAAGGTTGGATATTCGTGTGGCTCAAGCGTAATGTCGGTCCAGTAACTCCCAGATAAACATCCTGCATCAAGAAGGTTGCAACAGCGAAACACTGAAGGACAGAGGCGAATCTCCTGGATTATCCTGCTGATGCCAAGTCGTTGCCGGTCTTGGCGGGATGCCCAACCCTTCCCTCGTCTCGAACCATAAGTGTGCACGACCATCCACAGCACGATCTCTCTGCGTCGAGAAGCCGCAGGCAGCGGCGCACGTCTCATCACATGCTTGCATGCTTTCAATCGCTTTCGCACATAAACAGGCATGCACAGGCAGGCAGACAGACTGACAACTGACTGAAAAACAGACTGACAGACTAACAAACATACATGATATCATACACTCATGCGGTTCCACCTCACCTTGCTGACACAACAACGGCATCTTTGGGTACCTGGCGCTGTGTCACTTGAATGTCACTTGAAAATGCACGCCTCCTACAGACCTGGGAATGTCTTTTTGGCTTCGCGCCGCACCAAGGAAGCATGAACATCGTCTGAAACTTGTGAGTTGGGTGAGGAGGAGTCCCGGGACGAGCCACAAACATGACCACGCGGTCCGCACACTCACTTGCAACCTGAAGTCGCGAAGCAAAGGATCTTCGTTGTGGCCCAAGACCCTGGACCTCTTTCAACCGTAAACCTAAGCCAGGACACACCCCCAGCGTCTTTTACTCGCAATTTGGATGGCACTGCTATGGAAGGCGCAGCGGATGCCACCAAACTTGCTTCCAGGCTCCGGCGTGCCATACCCACACTCCCGAGAGGAAAGATGTCGTTTCATCTCCCGGCGAGCGCTGATGAGTCCCCCACCACCAGACCCGATGCTTCTCATTCGAAGCACGGCTGCAGCGGTCTCCGCAAGAAACGGGGCGAACTGCGACTCCACACGGAATTGTCACCGAATCATCAGCCTTCGAACCATCGGAAGGAGCTCAGCCCAGGGCCTCATCGTCGTTGCAACCCCAGCCGCACACAGCTCTCCCTGTGGGAAGGCACGGAACGCCCATGGCACCGACTGCACTTTCACAAATGCTTTTCCAGAATCGGCGTTTCAAGAGCATGGGCTTCTTGCGCAGATTCTGTGAGGGGCCGATAATGACAACCACTGACCCAGCCGTGCCCACTCCAAATGCCGTGGCACTAGAAGCGAGAATGAGCTTGCCCGCATCATCAGCCAAAGCCTGCGTGCTATCTCCGACTTCTTTCTCTGTGGCTCTCCTCTTCACGGGCGGTTCCGACGCAGGATCGCTACCGACCGCGGCGCGTCCTGGCCGAGCGCGCTGCACTCGCCTTCCATGCAAGCTCCACGCTGCGCTGAGGTCCCGCATCTGCCACGATCACGAAGCGTCTCTGCGGCTGCTTCGAAGAAACTTGGTAGGGTCTCAGCTCTTCGGTGGGTTCCTCATCTGCGGCAGCCGAGCTTGACATGTCCCGCGGCCGATTCGCCAGCTGATGCGTCAAGCCACAACCAGAAACAGGTCTCCACCCAACATTTGAGGGCCTCCACAACGCAACACGGGGAGTTTCGGACGCCCCTGAACTTCTCGAGGCTGCAACACTGGAGGGTCCTGCAACAGTGCAATGGAGTGCTGTCGAAATGAGACCCAAACCATCATCGATGTAACAGTGCATGCAGCTTCCAAAACCTGTTGCAGTTTCATGACTAGCTTGCAGATTTTGGCTTGGTGGGCGCGTGCGCCCTCGCAAAGGCTTGGGAAGTACCAAGATCAACAAGACTTACCAACAGAGCTTTTTTTGAGGTAACGACCAACTTAGTCACGTGCATGTCTGAACATGCTTGAATGCTGCTGCTTGGGTTTGGAGTGCTGCACGCGGCATTGATGGAACAAAGACTTACGCAGTCTTCTCACAAACAGGGGACTGTTGATCTACTTGCTGTCTCAATGGTGGTGTCCTCACGCAAAGTCCCTCACATGTCGGAACTTCTTTCTTTTACAACCACCCCAGATCAAAGGAAAGCTCTGATGGAAGGCTTGTGGAACAGAGCCGAATATGGACCTACCATTTGTTTGTCGACACGACTAATTAGGATTACTGGCTGTACGGGAAACGGCCATGGCATCACGGATATGGGCTTGATAGACGGTTGATTCAGTGTTGATAGCTTATAAGCAAGAACTGACGAACTGGAGTGATCGTACATGGCAAGGCCGCCTGCCCTCAGAGCCGCAGCTCGTCCGTGTCCACCGATGGTGACGTGCAGCAGAAGAGCTCGCCCACGGCCTGGCAGTCGAGCGGAGGTCTTCGCAGCAACAAGATGCAACAAGCAGACGAATGGCTCCGACAGTTGGGACCGCGGCCTGAAACCATTCCAAAGCCACACTTCGCTGCCAAGCGGCCTGCCACTGGCAACATCCATGACTCAACCAGTCTCAAACATGTCATGATGTTTGGCTGGACCTGCCTTGTCGTGGACGGCCTGCAGCATCTTCCGCATGGTTTCGTCTAATTGCCGCCTCCTTTCCTGCACAAGAAATCAAGCCAGTGACACGACAGTAACAGGGCATACCCTGGTCACCCTGGTCACTCGGACTCGCGCCTGGCGATTTTCACTCAAGGTTGGATATTCGTGTGGCTCAAGCGTAATGTCGGTCCAGTACATATACTCCCAGATAAACATCCTGCATCTGCATCAAAAAGGTTGCAACAACGAAACGCTGAATCACAGAGCCGAATCTCCTGGATTGTTGTGATGCCGAGTCGTTGCCGGGCCGTCGTGGCGGGTTGCCCAAACCTTCCCCCGTCTTGAAGCACAAATCTGCGTGACGATCCACATCCGACGTCGTTCGGGCTGTTGCCAGCATCCTGCTCCGAGGAGTCGCAGGCAGCAGGCAGACGGACGCACAGACGGACTGAAGGCCCTTCCCCGTGAGACTGGAAGGTGTCGGCTGGAATTACCCTCGATGCGATGAACTATAGTTACATAGGTCTGTTACTAGTCATGGAATTGCGGCTTCATGATCATGACCGCCAGCTTCCTTTGGCTTGGATCCTCCTGGCCCACGCTTGGATTATCTGACAAGTAAACCATCCTAGCTACACCAGGGGTGTGTTTTGGCGAACTCCTTGCATGCCGTTGGCACCTATGCGCCCAGCCCCTCCCACTTAACGCGCGCATCTGGCCCGCAGTGCAAACAGGTTCGTGGCCTTCAACCTCCACGAGAGAAGCCGGCACAAAACTTTATCAGCTCCTGTATCACTCGATCTTGTATCCAACGCCTTGCTCGGCATAAGGTCCCTCGTAGAGGGGAGACTGTCACGCCCAGACCAAGAAAATCAAGGGCCCTGTGAGCTCAAGAATAACAAACCCGAAGCGTCAACCTAGACCTAGAACCCCATCGACAGGAATCGCCCGAAAGGACACCCCAAGAAAGCTGAGCGGAAGTCTTTTGTTCCTGCACAAGGCAGCATCGTAGGCTCGGTTCGTTCCGGCTGGTCGTTCATCAGTTGAAGCAAAACCGGATGGATTACAGCCCGGACCAAGCCAGGTGACCCATGCGGACGAACAGACCTTCACTCCATCGCAACGTCCGTCCTCTGGCCCGCGGTCATCATTAGCTGATACAGGGTGCACGACGAAGTGGAATAGTCCACCTTCGTTTTCCGTTTCCTGCTTGGAAATACCCTTGTACGTTCCGCAGAACCAGACCCGACGCTTCTCATCCAAGGCACAGCTGTGACAGCCTCCACACGAAACATGACGAACTGCGCCTCCACTTGGCATCGTTACCGGATGTGGCTCCACATGCGGAGGGATTCGGTCCAAACCATCGGAAGGAGCTCTGCCCGAGGCCCCCTCGTCGTTGCAAACCAAGCTGGACACGGCTCCCCTTTCAGAAAGGCCAAGAACCTGCACTGCGCCGACTGCATGTTCGCAGATGCTTTCCCCGACTCGGGATTTCGAGAGCGCTGGCTTCGCGCGCTCTCGCATAACAGAATCATCGCCCAAACCTAGCTGATCGCATTCGCCACTTCCATGGACAAAAATGTCTCCAACTGGTACCTTTCCGGTCGTAGTGAAGTCCGGCAGCTCTTCCAACTCCTTCGTCGCGGTGCTGGCATCAGCAGAATCTGAGGCGTTTCCAGAGGTAACTGCTTGGCTTCCGAAGCAGAAGGTGAAAGCACCCGCGTTGCTGCCGCTCTGGCCAAAGCTGCTGCCGAAGCTGCTGACGAAGCCACTGCCAAAACCACCGCCAAAACTTCCAGAGGTGCCAGTGCCATCAGATTGTGCCAGGATGGTTGCGCCGAAGCAAAACACCACTGACCCAGCCGTGCCTGTGCCCCAGGCCGTGCCTCTTGTGCTGGCCCCACACGCAGAACCAGAGCCTTTCGGTTTTGCATCGGATGAGCTTCGAACCATGGCTAATGCTAAGGCCTTGTCGGCCTCAATTTCGGCGCCAGACTTGTAGCGTTCGTCGGGCTTGCATTGGATCGTCCACGCTCTTATGAAGAGTCTCCCGCCACTAAAATCCTCTCCTCTGAGGGCTCTCCAGGGCTCTTGGAGGGCTCTTGTGGGATCAGGCGCGCGCTAAAGGGGTCCACGCTCTTATGAAGAGTCTCCCGCCATTATGAAGAGTCTCCCGCCACTAAAATCCTCTCCTCTGAGGGCTCTCCAGGGCTCTTGGAGGGCTCTTGTGGGATCAGGCGCGCGCTAAACGGGTCCACGCTCTTATGAAGAGTCTCCCGCCACTAAAATCCTCTCCTCTGAGGGCCCTCCAGGGCTCTCGGAGGGCTCTTGTGGGATCAGGCGCGCGCTAAAGGGGTCCACGCTCTTATGAAACGTCTCCCGCCACTAAAATCCTCTCCTCTGAGGGCTCTCCAGGGCTCTTGGAGGGCTCTTGTGGGATCAGGCACGCGCTAAAGGGGTCCACGCTCTTATGAAGAGTCTCCCGCCACTAAAATCCTCTCCTCTGAGGGCTCTCCAGGGCTCTCGGAGGGCTCTTGTGGGATCAGGCGCGCTAAAGGGGTCCACGCTCTTATGAAACGTCTCCCGCCACTAAAATCCTCTCCTCTGAGGGCTCTCCAGGGCTCTTGGAGGGCTCTTGTGGGATCAGGCGCGCGCTAAAATGGTCCACGCTCTTATGAAGAGTCTCCCGCCACTAAAATCCTCTCCTCTGAGGGCTCTCCAGGGCTCTTGGAAGGCTCTTGTGGGATCTTGGCTCCTGGCTGGATTGTGCTCTCTGGTAATACAACTTTAATACTGGAAATGCCTCGTTTCGGCTCCTGGCTGGATTGTGCTCTCTTGTAGTACCACTTTAGTACTGGAAATGCCTCGTTTCGGCTCCTGGCTGGATTGTGCTCTCTGGTAGTACGACTTTAGTACTGGAAATGCCTCGTTTCGGCTCCTGGCTGGATTGTGCTCTCTCGTAGTACAACTTTAGTACTGGAAATGCCTCGTTTCGGCTCCTGGCTGGATTGTGCTCTCTTGTAGTACCACTTTAGTACTGGAAATGCCTCCTTTCGGCTCCTGGCTGGATTGTGCTCTCTCGTAGTACAACTTTAGTACTGGAAATGCCTCGTTTCGGCTCCTGGCTGGATTGTGCTCGCTTGTAGTACAACTTTAGTACTGGATTTGCCTCGTTTCGGCTCCTGGCTGGATTGTGCTCTCTTGTAGCACAACTTTAGTACTGGATTTGCCTCGTTTCGGCTCCTGGCTGGATTGTGCTCTCTTGTAGTACAACTTTAATACTGGAAATGCCTCGTTTCGGCTCCTGGCTGGATTGTGCTCTCTTGTAGTACCACTTTAGTACTGGAAATGCCTCGTTTCGGCTCCTAGCTGGATTGTGCTCTCTTGTAGTACCACTTCAGTACTGGAAATGCCTCGCTTCGGCTCCTGGCTGGATTGTGCTCTCTTGTAGTACGACTTTAGTACTGGAAATGCCTCCTTTCGGCTCGTGGCTGGATTGTGCTCTCTTGTAGTACAACTTTAGTACTGGAAATGCCTCCTTTCGGCTCCTGGCTGGCTTGTGCTCTCTCGTAGTACAACTTTAGTACTGGAAATGCCTCCTTTCGGCTCCTGGCTGGATTGTGCTCTCTGGTAGTACAACTTTAGTACTGGAAATGCCTCGTTTCGGCTCCTGGCTGGATTGTGCTTTCTGGTAATACAACTTTAGTACTGGAAATGCCTCGTTTCGGCTCCTGGCTGGATTGTGCTTTCTGGTAGTACAACTTTAGTACTGGAAATGCCTCGTTTCGGCTCCTGGCTGGATTGTGCTCTCTGGTAGTACCACTCTAGTACTGGAAATGCCTCCTTTCGGCTCCTGGCTGGATTGTGCTCTCTTGTAGTACCACTTTAGTACTGGAAATGCCTCCTTTCGGCTCCTGGCTGGATTGTGCTCTCTCGTAGTACAACTTTAGTACTGGAAATGCCTCGTTTCGGCTCCTGGCTGGATTGTGCTCTCTCGTAGTACAACTGTAGTACTGGAAATGCCTCGTTTCGGCTCCTGGCTGGATTGTGCTCTCTGGTAGTACAACTTTAGTACTGGAAATGCCTCGTTTCGGCTCCTGGCTGGATTGTGCTCTCTGGTAGTACAAGTTTAGTACTGGAAATGCCTCGTTTCGGCTCCTGGCTGGATTGTGCTCTCTTGTAGTACCACTTTAGTATTGGAAATGCCTCGTTTCGGCTCCTCCTGGCTGGATTGTGCTCTCTTGTAGTACTACTTTAGTACTGGAAATGCCTCGCTTCCTCTCCTGGCTGGATTGTGCTCTGTTGTGGTACCACTTTAGTACTGGAAATGCCTCCTTTCGGCTCCTGGCTGGATTGTGCTCTCTTGTAGTACCACTTTAGTACTGGAAATGCCTCGTTTCGGCTCCTGGCTGGATTGTGCTCTCTTGTAGTACAACTTTTAGTACTGGAAATGCCTCGTTTCGGCTCAAGGCTGGGTTGTGCTCTCTTGTAGTACGACTTTAGTACTGGAAATGCCTCCTTTCGGCTCCTGGCTGGATTGTGCTCTCTTGTACTACAACTTTAGTACTGGAAATGCCTCGTTTCGGCTCCTGGCTGGATTGTGCTCTGTCGTAGTACAACTTTAGTACTGGAAATGCCTCGTTTCGGCTCCTGGCTGGATTGTGCTCTCTTGTAGTACAAGTTTAGTACTGGAAATGCCTCCTTTCGGCTCCTGGCTGGATTGTGCTCTTTTGTAGTACAAGTTTAGTACTGGAAATGTCTCCTTTCGGCTCCTGGCTGGATTGTGCTCTATTGTAGTACAGGTTTAGTACTGGAAATGCCTCGTTTCGGCTCCTGGCTGGATTGTGCTCTCTTGTAGTACGACTTTAGTACTGGAAATGCCTCGTTTCGGCTCCTGGCTGGATTGTGCTCTGTCGTAGTACAACTCTAGTACTGGAAATGCCTCCTTTCGGCTCCTGGCTGGATTGTGCTGTCTTCTAGTACAACTTTAGTACCGGAAATGCCTCGTTTCGGCTCCTGGCTGGATTGTGCTCGCTTGTAGTACAACTTTAGTACTGGGAATGCCTCGTTTCGGCTCCTGGCTGGATTGTGCTCGCTTGTAGTACAACTTTAGTACTGGAATTGCCTCGTTTCGGCTCCTGGCTGGATTGTGCTCTCTTGTAGTACAACTTTTAGTACTGGAAATGCCTCGCTTCGGCTCCTGGCTGGATTGTGCTCGCTTGTAGTACAACTTTAGTACTGGAAATGCCTCGCTTCGGCTCCTGGCTGGATTGTGCTCGCTTGTAGTACAACTTTAGTACTGGAAAGGCCTCGTTTCGGCTCCTGGCGGGATTGTTCTCTCTTGTAGTACAACTTTAGCACTGGAAATGCCTCGTTTCGGCTCCTGGCTGGATTGTGCTCTCTTGTAGTACAACTTTAGTACTCGAAATGCCTCGTTTCGGCTCCTGGCTGGATTGTGCTCTCTTGTAGTACAACTTTAGTACTGGAAATGCCTCGTTTCGGCTCCTGGCTGGATTGTGCTCTCTTGTAGTACAACTTTAGTACTGGAAAGGCCTTTCGGCTCCTGGCGGGATTGTGCTCTCTTGTAGTACAACTTTAGTACTGGAAATGCCTCGTTTCGGCTCCTGGCTGGATTGTGCTCGCTTGTAGTACAACTTTAGTACTGGAAATGCCTCGTTTCGGCTCCTGGCTGGATTGTGCTCACTTGTAGTACAACTTTAGTACTGGAATGCCTCGTTTCGGCTCCTGGCTGGATTGTGCTTCTTGTAGTACAACTTTAGTACTGGAAATGCCTCGTTTCGGCTCCTGGCTGGATTGTGCTCGCTTGTAGTACAACTTTAGTACTGGAAATGCCGCGTTTCGGCTCCTGGCTGGATTGTGCTCGCTTGTAGTACAACTTTAGTACTGGATTTGCCTCGTTTCGGCTCCTGGCTGGATGGTGCTCGCTTGTAGTACAACTTTAGTACTGGATTTGCCTCGTTTCGGCTCCTGGCTGGATTGTGCTCGCTTGTGGTACAACTTTAGTACTGGATTTGCCTCGTTTCGGCTCCTGGCTGGATTGTGCTCGCTTGTTGTGCAAAATGACGTTATCGTTTTTTCCTCCTTATCGTTTTACAAGTCAAACGCATCATCGCGAACACCGCGGGCAAGTGCTTACATAAATCGACCACACGGGGTTATTATGCAAACCCAACACACACACACACACCCACACCCACACACACACACACACCCACGCCCACACCCACGAACACGCACACCCACCCACCCACCCACACACACACACACACACACACACACACACACACACACACCCACCCCCACACCCACGCACACACACACACACACACACACACCGACACACCCACACCCACGCACACACACACACACACAGACACACACACGCACAGACACACACCGACACACACACACACAGACACACACACAGACACACACACACACAGACAGACACGCGCACACACCCCCACACACCCACACACACAGAGACAGACAGACAGACAGACAGACAGACAGAGACAGACAGAGACAGACAGATACAGAGACAGACAGAGACAGACAGAGACAGACAGAGACAGACAGAGACAGACAGACAAACAGACAGAGACAGACAGAGACAGACAGAGACAGACAGAGACAGACAGAGACAGACAGAGACAGACAGAGACAGCCAGAGACAGACAGAGACAGACAGAGACAGACAGAGACAGACAGAGACAGACAGAGACAGACAGAGACAGACAGAGACAGACAGAGACAGACAGAAAGACAGACAGAGAGACAGACAGAGACAGACAGAGACAGAGACAGAGACAGACAGAGACAGACAGAGACAGACAGAGACAGACAGAGAGACAGACAGAGACAGAGACAGAGACAGAGACAGAGACAGACAGAGACAGACAGAGACAGACAGAGACAGACAGAGAGACAGA